CCAAATGATCGGAGTAGGCTTAGTCTCACTTGGAGTCCTTCCTTTTCTTCGATGGTGGCCCCCCTCTTGTTTCCCTTCCACCCCGCTAGGCTAAACCTCTAGGTATCTCTTTTGGACGGCCTCCATCGGCCTCTCCGATAGTCTTCCGTTTCGCTCGGCTCCATCATCCATTCCACTGAAATCCCTGTAATGGGTCAACAGGGTTCTTTACCTAATGTAGAATATACGAGGGATAACATTGATTAGCGCTATTCCGAAAAACTGGGACAAATCACCCAAGCTCCGAGCAGCAGGGACTCAAGATGACTCGCTATCCTTTTCCTGCGGGTGGGACATGCAAACCCAGACTAGCGAATAATGACTGGGGACACTTGTCTCCTGTTTGCTCGTATCATTGGGAACATGCATCCATGCAGCGCGGGATCTGAAGAAGACAGATCCCTATGTGCAAGAATATGGAAAAGGACACATCACTGCTGAGCTCAGGGCTTTCCCAGCATTACGCTTCTCAGATCAGGGAAGCGAGGGGCCATCGTGGGTGTGATTGTATGATGGGCCTCAACAACATCATTCAAGGAAAACCTAGATAGATTAATCATGGCATCGCACGATAAGTTCGGCACTGTAAATCCTGCTCCATGTATACACGACCGAAAAACTGATATTGGCGAGGGTGGGACATTCCTATGCTGGCTTCGTTTGACATGAACTGATTATTCGAGGGGAGGAAAGCGAAGTATTACCCTGACACCAGCGGTATTGTAAGAAGAGGGCGATAATCTCATGTATGACCCGGCAAGAATCCATCAAGGTACCAGTCAGGCACTTCTCTTACAATAGTGACTGGGTGGAGAGGTGCGTGATGTAAGATTTAGCCGGCAATTGATGAGAAGAGCATTGCTTATGGTCATTTCTAAGATCCCGACGGAAGGCCAGCTCTTGATACCATACACGTATCGTTTCCTACCAAGATTACTAGGGAGGCAACTCATCTAAGTAGTCCTTCCGTATCCGTGAGATTGCCCAGATGAGTGTGAGCGCTGAACAGAGACTTCACAATTCATCGAATGCCAGGCACGAAGTTGGTATCTCACTTCCTACAACACCAAGTCTATGCTAATCTCGGATGGCGGAGAGGATCAAATTTCAACTTTCATCATACATATCCCAGCTTGAGCTGAGGTACCTGAAGTCATCGCAGGAATGATGAAAACGTTCATCTGCGCCGAGCCCTGATCGACTAGTACCTTCAGGTATGGCATGCAGGTAAACTTGGATGATGGGAATCCTTTCCGACACCGAAGTGGGCGGAATCATTCCAACTGCAGACAATGCACTCTCTTGGAAGGGACTAACTACTATGCTAAGCTACCGATAGGCTAGTATGTTCTCGGGATTGTTAGGACCATTTGGCATTTGCCCAATATATTTTAATTATTACCTTCGTCAGGCTAGTAGCTAAGCAGGAACCTCGCGACCAACAATGCTTCTGCGGGGCGACGATCCAGTCAGAGTCAAACCCGTGCAAGCGACCAATTTCAAATTAACAATGAGACATCTGCGACTGTCGTACGATGTTAGGGAGGGGTATTCATCCGTCCTTTGGGTACGAAAGCCGGGAATGAGTTGGGATGGAAAGTGGTGACTGCAGTCCAAGCTTAGTCTGCATCATCGTTCATACTTGTCGGTGGTTGAAGCACCGGTTTCCCTATGCGGAGTGACCATGTGACATTGAACAATCGTTCGGGTGAGTTGCTTGATCATGCTACTAACTAAATGAGATTTTGCTTGCTGTAACTACACCAAACATCTGCGATATACAGTACACACACCTGCCAATATTTCCAAAGAAGGGACATTTGACTCAACAAGAAACTTTCACCCTTCAGAGACGGGAGCTTCCCGGCATCGCTGGAAGTGGAGTGTGGGCCTCATGAATTTGGAATCAAATCAAGGGGAGCAACCAGCAAGCTGTCGAGGTCGTGTGGGACAAAAGTGGAGGGGAATCCCGCCGACGAAAAGGTGGGTCAAAAGTATCCCGACAGACTGGATACTGCGGTACCTCCGTCTGCTCTTGATTGATTAATCGCCTCTCTTTTTCCTTCCCTTTTTTTCCTTTTTCTATTTTTTTTTTTTCCCCCTCTTTTCGTTATTTCTCATCCCCAAGCCACAGAGCTGGTGGATGAACTGGAATCCATGGCCGAAAAAGGCCGGGAAAATGCTGAGACATGCATCCCAACTGGCTGTCTGCTAGTTAGTCTATTTAACTTTCCTAGAGTCAAAGATAAATTACGCAGGCTTATCATACTGTGTACTAGGATCATGCAAATGCATGCGCCGCAACACCCGTCTAAATTCAGCCCAGTCGGATATTGGGGGTCATAGTCCATGGATGCGACTTTCCGGCGGTGCGGCACCAACAACCATTGGATCCCAATTTCGGTTGAAGATCACCCAATCTGCTTCCCCTCTTGGATGATGTATCACTGTTCCATCCCGGAGGTACCATGGAGTCTACTCTTGCACCTTGTTGCACGGAAATCATGCAATTTCCCTTCATCTTCGTCTTCATTATAGGGGAAGAAAGGGAAGAAAGGGCAACAGCTACAGCAATCTGTGAGACATGTCAGGATTCCAAATGCTTTTCTCGAAGAAAATGTCCGGTCCATTCGGGCCGCCACCCTGGGTATGCCGACCAACATTAAGTTATTAACCGACCTTTACCATCTCGACCATCTGGGCCCCTGATTAGCGAGCGTCTTTTAGTCCGATATGCACAGGACTATCAATTTAGTAATAGTGTTTCGCCCCCCGTCGCTGGCTGCTCCCGGCAGCCTGGGACGCCCGTGCTTTTTTTCCTTACCTTTTCTTTTTTTCTCCCTTTATTTCTGTCGCTATGGGTTCTGATTAGTCCGGCAGCTACCCAGTAACCTGGCACCAATGCCCAGCGGGAGGGGCCATTATAAAAAGAAAAAGCAGAAAAAGGAAGAAGACGGGCCGGAGGAAAATAAAAGGCAGATCTTAATGACCTACTGATGAATGCGTTGTCAATCTCCCCCGGCCTGGCCGCAATAATTGAACGCTAGTGTATGTCTTCCCCTCATACTGAGAAAAAAAAAAAGGCTACCTAATTTGAAACCACGGTCAAGTCCGACCTGAAGGAATGGGAGACGATCCTCAAGTCGCTTCAGGTTCAGGTGATCATGGAACCCCTGCCGGGAACCCAAAGGATCGGAGGGCCATTCGTCTGCGGTAGTACCCGTTGTTTCCGAGCGGAAGCTGTAGAAGAAGAGAGAACTTTCCGAAGGGGGTCAAAATGGATTTGATTAGCTTTGTGTTGGAGACAAAAAAGCTAATTGAGGGGGGGCTTTTTCTCGGTGACGCTCGGCAGGAAGAATGGCCACCACTAACATGACCTACTTGCGCCTTCCTGCGTCCACCGTACTTCGTATCGGAAGGCAACAATGCAGAGGCAAACGGGAAATTAAGCACCTACATACATGGGCTACATGCAGCAAGCAACATGCGGGAAGTCCAGCTCTGCGGACATTGGGCCAGCCAGTAGGTAGGTGTGGACGAGGTAGGTATAGTGTCCAAGTGTTCCCAAGTTAGTCAAAAAAGATTAGGATCAGACATTGGATGGGCTTGGGATTCCCACCACCCGAACAGAACCACCCACTCGGTTCACACGAGTAGTAGTTTGGGTGCAAAGTTGGAGTATTCCACCTCTCTTAGTCTATTAATTTTGATTGTTTTCCCCCCTTCGCGCCCGTGGGTACCCCCCGATCCCCTAGTACCCAGTACCTTATAGCGAGTATCTATTACTATACAGTAGAAACTGCCGCCTAAGGACCGAAAAGTCTTACTGCAAGTAGATAGGGATAGTGTACTACCCTAACTGGGCTGGCCAGCTACTGTGGCCTACCAATCTTTATTTTTGATTTTGTATTTAAATTTTTTTTTCTTTCTTACTTTTCTGTCTTTCCTTCTCTCCAATTTTCTTATCATTGTTATTCTGAAATAATATCTTTTTTCTCCCTGTCCAATGGTGTGCAATGGCTGTCTCGCAAATAAAAAAGCCCCTTAATTATGGCGATTGTCTGGCCCAGTCAGGCCCAAGAGTTTCTGGTATCTTTGTAATTTTCTTACTTCTATTTAGCTTTGGGGAGGATTAGGTATCTTCCCTCCCCTCCCCCATCCTGCTAAGGTCAAACTTAATCCAACCTGTCGGGTTCAGGGAAGGAGATTGGGAAAAGACAGCCGACGGCCCTCCTCTGCCACCCACTTCTGATGCTACCTACCCACAAATGTCAACCAACCCCCCTGTCCAGCAACACTTATAGACTCCGTAGTGCTAAGGAGAACCTGTCAATCTTAAATACTATATGGCTGGCCCAGATGCTCTCCAACTCTGGAATGACATCTCCGAGATTTCTCAAATCCTATGCCCTTTCCCTCCACCCTGTACAGTAACGGAGAATTTGTAACCCTTCTTCGCCACGACACGACTGTCTCTACAATACTCTGCCACCACCTACTACCACTACTATCTCTGCATACTCTCCCGTAAATACAAACCCTTCCTTTTTTATCAATTTCAGGCCATCAAGTCCGTGCTGGGATTGGATTTCTCATACTATTTCCTTATGAGATATCGTTTTTACTTTTAAACCAATTTAACTTACACACCCTCGTCGAGCATCCACTGACTAAGTCGCCTTACCGAGCCCTGGGCCTGGATACTACCTACGTACTACCATTCCCACCCCCACTCAGACGCTGGCCTCTTAAGCTCCAGTTTCCCCAAGTCCTCTGGTACGCATAATGCCTACTGGTAGATCAACTGTGAGCTCTCCCCTACTACTTGAGATCCTGACAAGGACCAATCTTTTTTGTTGGTTGTAGTGGTAGTGGCTCTTTTTCAACTCTTTGCTTTTGCTCTTGGTCGCCGTCTACATTGTTTCTTTCGATCCGTTCCCTCTAGTAATAACTAACACACCATGTCGCAGGGATCTAGTCGTGAAGAGTAAGTACTGAGCTCTCCCAACTACACCCCGAAAATTGAGCTAGAGGTGCAAGAACTGCTTAGTTACTCTCATCTTCGCTTCTATTGGTGGTGTTGGTGCTGATTGTGACAATAGTGACACGCAGTCTTTGACTGCCAGTGTAACGGATTACCCCATGGAATATGGAAGACGATACCACAAATATCATGAGGGCTGTATGTGCAGGCCTCTTCGACGCTCTCAGAGCCAGCCTCGTCTCTGACTGAATTTCTTTTATTTCCCAGCATATTTATATCCCAACGACGAGCAAGAGCTAGACCGGATGGACATGCAACACCACATGCTCAAATTGGTCAACCGCGGGCGGCTGCTCTTTGCCTCTCCCCTAAGCCCAAAGAAAATCTTAGATGTCGGCACCGGTTCTGGTATATGGCCTATAGAACTAGGTAAGCGAAAGAAATAGAACCCTCTCCCCCCATCCTCTCCAGCTCATCCTACCGGACAGTTTCTCATCGTGTCTCCATCACATGTAGCGTCTGAATTTCCAGCAGCCGAGATTATAGGAACCGATCTTTCGCCTGTACAACCGAACGAAGTCCCCGAGAACGTCCATTTCCTAGTCGATGACGTTACAGAGGACGAATGGCTATGGGGCCCCAATCACTTCGACGTCATTCATGCCGGTCACCTTTCAGGTGCCTTGCCATCATATAAAGACTTGTTACGGAAAGTCTTCAAGCATCTCAAGCCTGGCGGTAGTGTTCAGTGCGACGAATTCGACCCGAAGCCGAAATGCGATGACGGAACCATGCCAGAAGAGGACCCCGATAAGTTCAGCGAATATGCCCTTCAAGACCTGATGGATTTACACCATCGTGCCGGTCAGGTATCAGACCCGCCCCGACAGTTTCGAGTGGCTCATCGACTGGCACGCTGGATGAGAGAAGTGGGATTCGAGGACGTTCAGGAACGGGTTCAAAAAGTACCCGTGAACCCTTGGTCTACCGACTCTCATCTGAGAACGATTGGTTCGTGGAACGAGACAAACCTGCTGGAAGCCGCAGCTGGTTGGTCTTACAAGCCACTCACGATTCTTGGCTGGTCCAAGCCCGAGATCGAAGTCTTCCTGGTCGATGTTCGAAAATCCATCCAAAACCGTGATGTCCACGCCTATTTGGACTATTATGTGGTAACAGGAAGAAAACCACATTCTGCTTAGCGAGGGAGCCCTTGAAGGGTTTCACCACGAAGTTTACGGCTTCGAAAGAAAAGCACCACAAAACAGACAACGTTCCTTTCGGATTATCGTTCCTTAGCGTCCATACCTGCCTTTTGGCCTTCACTTCATATTTTATTTTTTATCATCATTGGGCCTGTCCTCATTTTCTTACTTTACGTTTTCCTTGTGTGTTGGCGAGCATTGGCATAAGATACCATCGACTACAGAGAAACATTATATATGCATGGAAGGCGTGCAGGGGCCTCCTTCGATTTTCCTACATTCTATTTCGCTTTCTCTTCTTGCACATGGAATATAAGTTTATAAGTTTAGCGACATGTGTTGTCAAATCATGCATGATTTTGGTTTGGCCTACAAAGAATAGAACAGGCCAGTCATTTAGACATTTAGTATACAAGAATAGACCAGAAACACGAGCATTCAGCCTCACGACAATATTCCTCTCATCGGTATCTTACTCAAGCAAACCAACATAAACGAAAAGAAAATCCAGGAAATCTCTACTACCTGCAAACCAAACCACTGCACCAACCTCCCAAATCACCACTAGCAACTAGCCTAGTAACTACTTAAGCCCAAAAGCACGGTTCCCCAATTCGGGGCAGCCCGCTTACTCATCACCCATCCAACCCTCTCCAAACCTTCCAAGCTTGATCCATCCAATCCCGCCTTTGCTAATCAACCACATCCGACAGGCCCAGACATCGCGATTTGCTTCAATTCCCTCCACCGCCATCGCATGCGCCCCGCTGCCTCATGTCTCTCGGCAGACATGCCTACAGGCATGCACCATCATCGAATAACCTCCTCGATCACGTCTGGATCAGCGAGGACTTCCTAGTCTCCGCGTTCCGACGCTTCGCTAACGGCCAACGACGCTACGAGAGCCGCGTTCCGGGCCCATTGGAGGCTCGACGACGACTCGCTAAGAGGAGGAATACTGCCCTCGCTGGGATTGCGGGGACAGGGCCTTTGGATGATATTGCGTGTTTGTTTGGGCGCAATGGGAGGGAGCATATGAAATGGACGACCACGACGGAGGGGAGGAAGGCGAAGGGTGAGTGATCGAAGCAGTTGGCTTTACTTATGCTGGTGGAGGATTCTAACGGTGGTGATTGTGGTTGTAGGCTCGCACTTTTATCAATTGAGTACCCCGTCGCCGTCACCGCCGCCGCCGCCTCCGATACCGACACCGTCTGTGCCAGTGTATAATGAGGGTGGTAACATGGTTGGTGATGAGTTTGAGTTTGGAAGACCGGATATGCCGCCAGAGGGTTCTGATGAGGTGTCGCGCGATCAATATGTCAGGAGACGGTTGAGGGAGTGTCGTACCGTCGAGGCTGTTAAGAGGGTTGTTCGGCAATTGGATGTTGATCTTTTGCGAGAGCCGGGGTATAGTCGGTTTATATTCGATCATTTATTGTCGTATTCGAGGAGGGGGGAGGTGGCTGTTGATGAGCTAGTGTCGTTTCTGGATGATCCGCAGCTTAATATCCGCGGAGCGAGGAATTATTTGACCGCGGTCGAGTATATCGCTTCGCGAGGAATAAGGCATGGGAAGTGGCACCCGCTATTCGACAATGTCGTTCAGGCTCTGGAGCTTGGGCTTGTTCCGCCTGAGGAGCTGTGCGCTGTTATAGAGGCTGTTGCGAAAGCAGTACCGGCGAAGGGTGAGAAGAAGAGACAGTCCCCGGATACGATCACGGCAATGTATCGGGCGATGTGGGATGCAATTGGACGGTGTGATATCTATGGGCACGGTGATCTCGACGAGGGGATCATTGACGCGTGGCTTGGTGCTTTATGGGAGAGGAATGTCTGCGAGGATTTGCTCTTGGCGAAGAGCATGCTCGTTGCTGCTCAGAGACTGGAGTCGGCATGTTGCTTGTGGGCTACGTTGTTCATCACGCGTTGGCTGGAACTTCCCAAGAAGCTGCGAGCTGGCGCTGGTGAAGTCTACGCGAGTGACATACTGAGCAGTTTCAAGCCGGATCTTGCAACTGCTGCTGTCATATCGACAACCGAATTTCTGGCTCTGAACAAGAAAGATCTGCTTAGCCGGTGGCACGACTGCTTGTTGCAGGCCCAAGAGATCCCGCAACTTGTTTCATCGAAAGCATGGCTTGATGTTCGATCGCAGCGCGATGTAACAGAGCCAAATATCCCGCTGCAACATCAGATCATCTTACGCATATGGGCTTTACGCACTCTCAGCAAAGGTCTTTCCGACGGGCCTCTATGGAGGAAGAATGTACGAATCACTGATGTGCCCATAAGACGCCTCTTCGGCCTCTACGAATCCATCAACAAGACTGAGTCCAGCGAAGACTTGCTTAGCAGCCTAATGGAAGGCATCCATGGCCTTGGGCTACCAGCCAACGGCCTCCTCATACTAGCCGTCGACCTGAAAGCCCGCAACTCCCTCACCAAATCCACCCGACGCACCCTAACCAACATGGAAACATCCGCATCCAACGCCTCCTTCGCCAACATCTTCGCCAGCCTCGACGCCTACAACGCAACCACCCCCCACTTCTTCTCCAAATTCGAGAAAATGACCCGCCAAATCGACATCACCTCCCCAGACTTCATCTCCCACGGCCTCGACCTCGCCCGAACCGGCGACTCCCGCAGCGTATGGACACTAATCCGCCTCCTCCGCTCCCACACCCCTCTCAAAATAGCCCTTTCCAAATCCTGGATCCCTATCCCCGACCCATCAGAAAAAGCCCTTGTGCGCTATTACCCCGAGCCAAGAACCAGCGACTGTCCGGACCCGCACGCTGCTCTAGAGATGATCCACCTTCTGGCAGTGTCACTCGCGTGCTCGAGGCGCTTGAGTCCGCGCCGGTCCTACAGTCTCGTGCATTGGCTGTATGTCTTCCTGGTGAAGCATAATGCGCCTGTCAAACCGGCCATGGCGCGTGCTTTGTATCATGCGGGTGTTGAACGCTTTCGACGCGAGGGGTTACGTGTTTCGCTTACGCAGTATGCGTATATCTATGATGTTGTGGAGGAGGTCGAGGGGGCGGATGTCGTTGAGGCGCTTATGGAGCCGCCGAGGATTGGACATCGGTTTTCTGGGGAGGAAGAAGGGGAGAGTTGTTCTGAGTACGAAGAGGTGCGATGAGATGTATTTTAGATACCTAGCCTGGTTGTATACACCCGGGACTGTATACTATTTTATAGGTTATAACGGCCCAAGAAGGAATATTGTATGCCTCTGGCATATCAACTACAGCTCTACGCGAATATAACTATTCGAATCGTTTTCAATTCCAACAATCATAATGGCAATTATTCATGCGTGGGCCCATATTTAGGATAAGATAAAGCGAGCCCGACAAAACCAATAGTAAATAAGAACCTTTCTTTGCTCTAGTCGTTACAACAACAAATAACAACACATCCCTTAGACATCCACCTCCATCAAGTTAGGATCACCCGACGCCTCCTCAACAGAGATATACTTCCGCATATCCTCCTTGCTGATAATCTTCTGGTTCAAATAAGCCGTAGTACCCTTAGGGAAGCGGTAATTGCGCTCCTTCTCGCCACGCTCATTAGGCTTGATGTAGTTGCGCAGCAATTGCGTAGGCTTGTCCTTCTCAATGACACAAACATCGACATTGCTACCGGATCCCAGATCGTTGAAGATACCAGCCTTGATGGCCTCCGCGCACAGGGCGATCGCACCCTCACGGTCCAGGTTCGGCTTCCATGTCGACTCGAACACGGACATCGCGGCCAGGGAACCAGATCCCATGGTCACGTAGGGAAGCTTGTCGGTGGAACCGTGGGCGTGGACGGTGAAAAGACCAATGCCGGTGGGGTCGACACCTGCCACGACTAGGTAGGCGCCGATGTGGCCTTGGTATCGGAATAGGTGCTGCTTCAGCATCGTCATGCAGGTGATTACGCGTGGGGGCCGGCCCGTCGAAAGTGAGTGCAGTTCGATGTTCGAGCTGATCAACGCCGTCGTGAACTCGGTGTCCGCGGCCGTTCCGGCTCCCGCGCACCAGATCTTGGGCGCGATGTAGTGTAGTTTCTCGCAGTTCTGGAGGTGTGGGGATATGTGTGTTAGTTGTTTTGTTGGATTAAGGTGAATGTGAGTGCCCGGGGAGGGAGAACGGGTGTTTACCTTGTCTGCTACTATCGGGCCGCTTGTGGCTCTGGTATCTGCTGCAATCTGTGGTTATGCCAGATGTGGTGAGTTCGTGATCGTCGATTTGGGTACTAGGGAGCTTGTTGGGTTGCTCCGGAGGTACATACCACAACGCCATTGTCGTATATACATCCCACGATGGTTGTACCGGTACTGGTGGCCTTGGGGAGAGGAACTCCCTTCGCGTGGAGCGCCGCGTTACGGTTGTAGTTGGAGAAATCGAAGCCTGTCATGGTGACGGCGTGGAGAGGTGATGTAGTGGGAGAGGGGCGAGGAACAGCAGGAGCTGAGAGAATTGAAGCTCAGTTGAGATGAAGAGATGCTGAGGAATGACGAAGAAAGATGAGATACCGGCACAGATGACGGGGGAAGAGCAGGAAGCTATAGCAGGACGGAGAGAGATGGCGGAGGAGGAGCTGCGAGTTGATGGAGTGACGAAGCTCCGGGCGCCTGATCGCGGCGGCCTCAGGCACGTCACGGATTAGCTAATGGGCGAGCAATTCCGCTGTTTTTGTCCGGCTGGGAATCTGGCGCCGGACTCCATCTCCATTCTTGTTGCGTTGCTCCTGCATTATCGGCAGTCATTGACTGTGCTGTTGTTTCTCTTTTTCTTAGGGTCGCTGTGAACCCCGTCTCTTTCATCCTACTTCCTTCCCTCGAGGGGAGGTGGTCAAGATTTTTGCGCGCACCTGGAAGCTCTTCAATCGGAGTCCTCAAGCACTCCAGCGTCGCTCCTTTTCATCTTCGCCGCAAAGTCCACCTTCTCCCCATGCTCCAAAGTCTCGGTTATCTCTAGGCGACCGTCCTCGTTCAATTTCGGCCGATTTCGACAGACTCAGAATGGCTTTCAGCTTTGGAGCCTCCAACCCCGCTGGGGGTGCCGCTGAATTGGGCCCCGAGCTTCCTGATGTTTTCGTAGATGTATGTCGCATTGGCACTAAGTGTTTGAACCGATTTTAAACTGACATTATGGCCAAACAATGTAGGAAGTTGGGTTCAAAGGCGTGTCCAGCGATAGCAACATTCGATTACTCAATACTCCCTGGCCCGAAGATTCCCTTCCTAGCCCTACGAGCTCCCTTCTGGCTGTCGCAGCAACAAAAGGCGTTGTTGTCGGTGCTGGGCCAGACGCCCTTTATATCGCCTCCTCCAACGACATAAGAACAGCTATTTCCGCACCCACAGGAGATGAGAAGGTCAAGACCAAGCCCTTCCAGCCGCGCGCAACGATTCCTCTCCCCGCTCGGCCTACGCATATCACTTTTGCCTCAAGCGATAGCGCCCTAGTACTGGTGACAGAGAATGGTACGCAGCTTTCGGTATTTGAGACGGCAAGTCTCTTGCAAGGGAATGCGCAACCGGCTTTGTCTATCCCGACTAATGGTGCCACATTTCGCTTCCTTGCCCCCAATCCCGCACAGTCTGAAGACTCGCACTCATCCCTTGTTGCGCTTGTCACAACCGGGGGCGACCTCCTCATAGCCGATCTGAAAGCCGGAAACATGCTCTCGGGTCCCAATGGCCAGGTGTTGAAATCGGGCGTCAGCACAGTTTGCTGGAGTAACAAGGGCAAGCAGCTTGTGGCAGGGCTGGCGGATGGCACTGGATTCCAAATGGCTCCAGATGGTGCTCAGAAGGATATCATTCCGCGTCCTCCCGATCTGGAGGATAACCATCACGGTGCGTACCACGTTCGCGTCTTCAAAGTTTCCCCAAATTCTAACCTGTGCAGTGTCCTCTATTGCCTGGCTTGAGAATGACGTCTTCTTGATGGTCTACACATCGAATGCTGTGGAGGATGATATGGGCCAGATACCATCTTCGCATTACTATATTATCACCCGAAGGAAGAATGCGCCTTTCTTGATCCAGAAATTGCCGGAATTGTGTTTGCCATTTGGCTTCAAGCGCGCCCCTGCCTACCAGTTCCTCGCGCGTCTCCGAGACTACAAACCGCATTTGAAGGATGTCCTTGTTGTATCCTCCACCGCTTCGACCGACGTAAGCTTGATCACGAGAGCGGATCAACCGCTGGCTAGTGATGATGCCGCCAAGGCCACCACAGGGCTCTTTGTGACGACCGAATTGAACGATGACACCAAGAGAGCTTCCCTCCCGCTAAAAGACTCTACGGAAGAAACCTCTGTGATCGGTTTAGGCTTTGACCTATCGAGCACTGAGAATGTTGTGGCTCCAATCGCTGGCGAGGATATTGCTGAGAGTTCTACGCCGCTGCCGAACCTGCTACTCCTCAATAATGAGGGTATCCTGTCCTCTTGGTGGTTCGTCTACAACGAATCAGTCCGTCAAAAAATCCCTTACCACGGTCTGGCATCAGAGGCTCAACAGCAGCAGCCGGCACCGCCAGCACAGTCAGTACAACCTCAGCCCCCTGCGCAGCCTGCGTTCGGACAATCAGCTTTCGGTAGCCCATCTCCGCTAGGAGCATCCCCTTTTGGCAAACCGTCAGCTGCACCGGCATTTGGTAGTACTTCCACTTTGGGTGCCAGCCAGCAGCCGCCTGCCTTCGGAAAGACATCGTTTGGCGCACCTTCTTTCGGCACCCCATCACAGCCGGGGGCCTCCTTTGGCGCTCCTAGTGCCTTGGGAACTGCATCACCCCAGTTCGGTAAGTCCGGCTTCGGCGCACTGGGCGGCGGGTCAGGTTTTGGACAACCGTCAACACCGGGTAAGAGTCTGTTTGGAGCCTCGACTACTAGTACAGGAGGAGGATTTGGCTCCTTCGCAAACTCTTCTGGAGGAGGGTTTGCTGGCTTTGCGGCGTCAAAAACCACTACCGAATCACCCTTCGCTAAAATGTCTGGAGAAAGCGCGTTTGCGAAATCGTCTGTGCCGTCGCCGTTTGGTGCTAAGACCGAAACTGACACTGCGTTCCCTCCCCCAACCTCGGGCGAGACAAAGAGCGCTTTTGGACAAAGCTCTAGTGGCTTCGTGTTAGGATCTACCTTCAAGGGCGACGGTACTGCGGTCAACGATGGGCCTAAGCCAGATAAGCCTTCAGGACTATTCTCATTTGGCGAATCCATGGACGACATGGTATCTAGCAGCAACAAGACTAGTCCACCAACCGAGTCAATGGATGATATGGACGACGAACCTGCGCCTCCGCAGAAGCCTGAGTCCAAAGAGCCTGAATCTAAGGGACCTGCGCCATCTATTTTCGGAGCACCCTCCAAGACCGAGACCGCTGCACCGACCTCCCTTTTCGGCTCCAAGCCCCAGCCTCCTAATCCTTTTGGTCAGCAACCGGCCAATCCTTTCGGCCAGCCCCAGGCTACTACCAAGTCTCCATTCTCGTTGTTCGGCAATGCTTCACCTGCTAAGCCCACATCAAGCCCGCTGGCTACCCCCTCTGAAAAGACTACAGCTGCTACTCCACCCTCAGCTAAGACGCCTTCCGAAGACGCCCATCGTACTCCCCTTGCCTCCAGTATTCAAACGCCTCTCCCCCCTGACCCCACCAGCAAGGCTTCGTACGGGCCGGGCGATACTTCGGCATCGTCCAATGTGTCTAAGAGTTCCGTTGATGACGCTCCTCTTCCTCCCGACTTCACTGTCAAGGCGAAACCTGCCGCGGCAGATGTCGGAGGAGAGCCACCTTTACCCCCGGATTTCGCGAAGAAGCTTCCTGAAGAGGAAGACGAGGAAGAAGAAGTGGACGAGGCTGAAGCTGAAGAGGCGCCGTTGCCTCCGGATCCAGCTACGTGGAAGCCACCAGCAACGCAGGAAGAGCCTGGTCCAGTACCTGACGAATCCGATGCCGATGAGTCTGGAAGAGAGGAGAGTGAGGAAGGCGAGGAAGAAGCGGAAGAGGAAGAGGAGGAGGGCGACGAGTCTGATTTTGGAGATAGCGGTGAAGAAGTCTCCCGAGATATCAGCGAACCAGAGTCGGCAGAGGCGAGTCCAGAGGCCACTCCCGACGGTGCCTTCAAGTTCGGGACTAAGGGTGGCTTGTTCTCGCAAGCTGCTAAACCTGCACCCGCTCAGCCCCCGGCACAGCGGTCCTTGTTTGGGGAAATTGGAAAGTTCCCGACATTCCAAACTCGGGAGCCTCTAAGGTCGCCCAGTCCCGTACGGAGTGGTCTTCAGAAGAACCGGTTCAAGATCGGGGGCCAGAAGCCCAATGCTGCACAGGCTCCAGGAAGCACTCTTGCTGCACGCAAGGCTTCCCTCACCGAGGCCGTCAAGCGTGAGAATCTCCTCAAACCGCAGGTTACTCAGAAGGAGAAGTCTCCCGTGGACCTCAAGGCCAAGCAGATGGAAGAGGAAGCTCAGGCTCTTTCGGACGATGATGAGGACGAGAGGCTGCGTGCAGATCTCGCCCGACCTCTGGAGCCCGTTCCGACGCTGGATCCTTTCCTGCCTCACCAGGATTATGCCGGAGAGACCAGCAAGCCTGGTATTCCTGGCCAGATCGAGCGACTATACCGGGACATCAACTCCATGGTTGACACACTGGGCATCAATGCTCGATCACTGGCCTCGTTTGTTCTGTACCAGAAGCAATCGCAAAGTGGTGATTGGGTCGAGCTATTGAACAAGGAACACCCAGCTGCTATCCTTGACGAGAAGCTATTGCTCTGCGATATCGAGAAACTGGACGATGCTGTTGTCATGCTTGCCGGCTCTCTTGAACAGCAGCGTGTGCAAGGGGTCGAGGACAAGCTGAAGGCCTGCCAAGAGCTCCTGAGCAAGGATATTTTGACGCTTCGGGGCCAGTGCGCGAGCATCCGAAAGACTCTAGATGCCCACACCGATGCAGCAGCTATCGTCTCCGCGCCTCTTTCAGCAGAGCAGGCGAACCTGCAGCAAGATCTCCGCACTGCCTCGACTGACATCCAGGCCAAGCTGGCGGATCTCGAGTCGGCAGTGTCCCTCCTTCGTGCCAAGATAGCCGACGCTCCTCGTCCCGATGGCACTGGCTCCCGGCAAGCTATGAGGCGGCCGACCGTGGAAGCTGTCACGTCTACAATTGCTACGATGACCAACATGGCCGAAAGCAAGCGCAGTGACATTGACGTCCTGGAGATGCAGCTGAAGAAACTAGGCATCGACGCCTCGGCCCCGGCAGCAGCCAGCCGGGAAGGCTCACCCTTCACAACCCCGCGAAAGGGCATGGGCCGATTCCCAACCACCCCCGGATCCGACGGACCCAACAGCGCATACCATACACCGGACTCTGCTACACGAGGCTTCCGATCAAGCATCAACGGCTCAGCGCGGGCTAGTCGGCTTCGTGAAGTGGAAGGTGTCGGAGAGCTCGTCACCCGGGAGGAGAGTGCGCAGTGGAAGACGAAGCGGCAACGCCGGCAGCATATTGTGGGCAGTCTGAAGAAGGCAATTGGAGAGAAGAAGTCCAAGGTGCGCGGAGTGGATGATCTGTAGGATTAGCTGCTTTTCTATTACTATTCTGTTTTTCCCTTGACTATGAGTTCTTGAACCATGAAAAAAACAGCGGGTCCGGCCATTGGATGTTGGTAGCGTTATTATGTACATAGATCCGATTCATCCTTAAACTAATGAGTGAACGTTCACTGCCACTGCATACTAGCACACATGACTGTATAGTTCGTATTCATGCCTAAGGCATCAGATCAATCAACCAACCACTGACATCATGCGGCAGTGACGTTAACCCCATCTCCTCTTTCTTTGTTTCTTTCTTATCGTTTTAAACCTTTCTTTCCCCGAGCTCAAGCTTGCCTGCCACTGCTTACTATAAACCCCCTCTCTTCTCCAGCATCATCAGCTCCATTTCACCCCTTTTAGCTTACCCTCTACTAAAGCTAAAATCAAACCAGTAGTACCAAATCCCAAGAAACGAAAGAAACATGTCCGGCGTCACCGAATTTATCTTCTTCCACCTCAACCCCGCCATCAAACCCGAAGACCCCACCAACAATGAAGCCGGCGCTTCGCTCCTAGAGCTCTTCAAAAACACCAAACACCAGAACGGATACCTAGGGTCCTCTTGGGGCCGCTCAATCGAAGATGAGAATGTGGTTGTTTGGGTGATTGGTGCGTTTTGATCCCCCAAATCTACAAATGCACTTTTCTCTCTCTCTACTCTCTCTACATAGATTCCTACATATTGCTAGCAACATAACCCAACCCAACCCAACCCAACCCAACTAACATGGAAATGAAATAATAAAATAGACTGGAAAGACGCCCAAACCTCCCCCACCCTCACTCCCTCCCTAACACCCTACCTAGCCCCATCCACCCCATTAACAACCTTCTACGCAACCCTCTCCCCTCCTCCTCCCGCACACAAAACCCACGATCTATCCGCCTCACCCGTAACCGAGATCTTCACTCCGTGGTTCCCGACCTCCATGTCCGCGGACGAGACGAAGAAACTGCACGAGAGCCTCGTGGCGTTCCGGACCGAGCTGGTGGAGAATCTCGAGGAAGGGAAACGGCCTCGAGGGTTGGTCATGGGGCAGGTGGAACGGCCTGGGACGCGGAAGCATGGGGATAGTCCGAGCGGGGAGGCGTTTGGGATGGTGGTATTGGCGGGGTGGGAGAGCGTGGAGGCGCATATGGAGATTAAGGGGACGGAGGCGTTTGGGAGGGGGATTGGGCCGATTAGGGAGTGGATGTTGAAGGGGGATGGGGGGGATGTGGAGAAGGGGGAGGGAGGGTTTGGGATTATGAGGCATGTGAGGTTTCAGAAGGTGGAGTGAATTTAATGGATGCATAGGGTGTATGTGTTGTGTATGTGTTGTGTATGTGTAGTGTAGTGTAGTGTAGTGGTAGGGGACGGGTTATGGGAAAGGTATTATTAGTTGGACAGCGCTTTTCCAAATAAATACAGTACACACACAAAGGGAAATAAAAGGCAAAAGGCGCAGACCCCCGAAAGAAACAAAAGAAAATAGAGACGAAAGACCCAAACCAAACCATCAGAGCCACCGGGATAAGAACGGACGACGACTTTTGGGAGTTGTCGCAAAGCAAAAAGACAGCAAGCAAACCGATTCGTCGACGGGAACAGAAACAGAATGAATTCACTTAGCCTAGATCCGATGCTTCTCGCTTTCTATGGGATCATTAGAATGGGTCACTTGATCATATATGGGGTGAGATGCAATGGAGGGATACTAACCAAGTCTCGAGTAGAGCATGTAGAGCGCCATCTGGTTGCACTCCTGGGTACCGGTGATCGTGACCAGACGCTCGTTGCTGTTCTCCTGGGGTTCGTTGATCTTGATAACACTGCCACTCAGGTGCCGGATCTCGTTGATCTTGGCTCCTCCCTTTCCGATGATGGCGCCAACCATGTCGTTGGGGATGTAGATCTGCTGAGTCAGTGGCTGGCCGGGCATGACACCGCCGACGGGAGCGGCAGGCGTCGGCCCACCACGAGCCTGTGCGGCGGCCGCCTGAGGCGCACCATAGGGTGCGGGCTGGTGGGGACCAGCGCCGGCATACGGGGTGTGGGGAGTAGCACCGTAAGGCATCGAGGGCTGGGCTACAGGAGTTTGCGCGGCGGGGCCCTGGAGGTAGGGAACACCATATCCGCCAGCTGCGCCGCGGTTGGGGTGAGGGTGGTGACGCTTGAAGGTGTCGGGATGACCGTACTGTCCACCAGCGGGCTGAGGCACGTACGGCACAACCTGCATGCCGCCGGGCACAGCGCCAGCCGGTCCGCCGCTGCGAGTGGCATAGGCCGAGGCGGCGGGGCCACCGAAGCGTTCTGTCAGCTGCTCGACGAGAGTCACGGCAACGTAGTAAGTAGCGATGTGCACTGCGTCAGCAACACCGAGGATAACAAGGGACCGTTCAGTGGACAGGGGAAGGCAGGCATCAGAAGCGTTGAGACGTGCACCAGAGGCGTCCTGGATCTCTCGAATACGGCTTCCACCCTTGCCAATGATCGAGCCAATAAGAATATGGGGAATCAACAAACGCAAGGGGTATGTCTTGGATTGGGCAGTAGAAGGGGCATCAAGGGGCTCGTTGTTCAAGGTACGAATGATAAGACCGAAGGCCTAGCATCCGGGTTAGCAGACATAAAAAAAGAAATCGAACTGTATCGTGTTCAAACTCACCTTCGCAGCAGCATCCTGGGGGCCGCTAACGGTCAAGATACGCTCGACGGCACCACGGGAGTAGTCGCTGACGGTGCACTTGGCGCCGGACAGACGACGGATCTGGGATACGTTCTCCCCACCCTTACCGATGACGGTGGCAGCCTCCTGGCTGGAGATTACAGCCCGGATGTGAATCCAGCTAGACTCATCCTGGGGACGGTGTTGCTCGGATTGGGCACCGGTCGACTCGGCGTGAGAGGCCGTCGACTGGATGGGTTGTGTCTCCTGAGCGCCCTTGGAGTTAGGAGCATCGGGGACCACGGTGTCGCCCTGGCCATCAGCAGTCGCAGCCGGCGCATCCGTCTTCACATCGGCATACGCCTCAGACTCATCGCCCTTTACTACTTTGTCCAACGCAGGACGCTTGGCTTCCGGCTGATCATTAGGACCGGAGGGAGAAGAAGGGTCCTCCAAGGGACGCTTGGTCGATTGCAACGCAGACGGAGAGGCAGACATGATGATTTGCTTGCCTAAACTGTGCGTGTATTTCTGTGCTTGCTTCACTTACGCAGGACGTGTCCAAGTGAGATTTCACTTCTTTTCAGAACAGCTCTTCTTTTTCTTTTCACTGCAGCTTTATTTGATCGACTATGTACACCAGGAGTTCCCAATAAAACTTGCTGGTGCTGGCGATCGGATGGAGAGGGAATTCTGGTGCTTGGAAGGATGTGGGAAGATTGGTGAACTCGTGCACAGTGCGGGAAGTGATGCTGTGAAAGGAGAGCCGACGAGGAAAGTGTGAGAAGGTCTGGGGTTGCCACGAGGCCTTGGAGGTTGGACTTGGAGCGAGAAAGCTTCAGAGTGAAGCAGTGCAAGGTAGAGGGAAGAAGGAAAAAATGAAACCAATCGGGTCGGGCACGAGGGCAGGAGAGATTGGGTGCTGGACGGTGGACGAAGATGTGCTCAGGGTCCGAATGGGTTGGAAGGCGGAGGGAAGCGTGGAAGGGAGAGGAGTAAAAAGAAAACGAGAAGTAAAAACGAGGCCTTTTTAGCAGTATCCGACGCCCAAACTATCCTTTTTCTTGCCTTTGGAAGACGCGACGTGGGTCGAGAGACGTTGAGGACGGGCGGGTCTTCTACACGATCACCCCAGGTACGCTGGAATAGCAGACGTGGGAGAGACGAGAGGTCGATGAGACGACAGCGACGGGTTAAAAATAGAGGTGGCGAGTAAACGCGCGATGATCAAAAGGGGGATAAGAGGGGAAGTGGATGGGTGAAGGAAGTCGAGCTTGTCGCGGTGAAGGACGAGAAGCGACGTTAAGGTTGAGTTGAGGTTCAGTCGCGCATCCTCGCTCTTCCCGCGCTATCCCCTTTCCGGAACCTACCTCACGTGTTACCCGGCCTGCAAAACACCTGCCAATCCCTCATTCGTCTATACAATTCCCCTCGTTTAGTTGGCTCGTGAGACAACTGGATGCATGGCGAGAACTAAATTTAGAGGCGCATTCGTCTAAATTATTCAAACCCATTCTGCAATGGATGTGTCGCAAGAAACTGTCGAAAGAGTCCAGCGTTTCGCAGAGAAGCGTCAACGCGCCGAGGACTTCTACGAGAACCAAGAAATCAGTCCAGCAGTTCTACAGGCGTACAATAGAAAATTGGACGAGACTCTAAAAGAACTTCAAGATCAAGTCAAACGCCAAGAAGATGACCTGCGTAGGGTATGTACCCACCCCTGGAGAACTCTCCCCCGTATACATCCCATACATGTAACCCAACTCCTAACACATCGCCCAGCTGCGCGAGGTCAACTCCTTCGATCTCTCCAAAATAGGCACAGATACTTGGTCGCGCGTAGCCCAAGTACAAAGAGCCAAGAGAGCCTACGACTCGCTTCTGAAATCAGAGACCGAGTTCCCAGCCTCAGGCTCCCCCCTACCTTCTTTGCTAGCACTTGAAGAGACATCGCGTCTAGTCAAAGAAACCAAGGTGTCTGTCTCCATGACGGCAGAAAATATCTCATCCAACCGTCAGCGTTTGAAATCAGAGGAGGCGAATTTCCATGACGCTCAAGTGATCCGGGATGGTCTGCGAAAGCGGATCCAGACCATAAGCAGCGAGAAGACGACCAAGGAGAAGAAGACCGCTTCCCAGCTAGCGCGAGAACTTGCGGAGCAAGAAGAAGAAAAGCGGAAAGAGCTTGACCAAGCAACAGAGGAGATGAAGACTGCCCTCTATAACTTTGTGGACGAAACCCTCGCGTCCTTGCTTGCTGCCGAAGCCCTCGGCGGCCCCACGGTGGGTGACGCCGCCCAGGTCTCGGATGCGACCTTGCAACTAGGCTATACGAGTCATGGAAAACCGAAGAAGCCCAAAAATCCAGAGGCAGCGAATTCGGATGCTGGACAGCGCCGAATCGACGAGATTCTCCCGCGCCAGTCTGGGCAAGGGGATAATCAACCAGCTAATCGCCGAGAGGCTGCAGCTTTGGAGATGCGCAATCTACTTGATGCTTTGTTGGAGGCAGGATCCTCCTATATCGATCTGCCCCGAGAATCGGCCGCCTCGCGATTTTTGGTCAGAGCTAAAGTCGCCCAGTTTCATCCTCGTGATGCGCGACGGTTGAGACTGATTGATTTTGGACGCTCATTAGACGATTGAATGCTTGCATGATGATTTACCGTATGTTACATAGCTTATTAGAGTATAATGAAAAGAAAGAAGGCTGTATATATTCTGTCAAAAAAAGAAGCCAGACGCCTAATACAGTCATCATGCCAGCATTTGATATCCCCATTAGCATAACGCCTATACATGCATTAAGGAATCAACGCCCGTAAGTGCCACTGCATATACCATAAAGTTCATCACAAAGCCGAAGTATTCGGCACTCCGATAGCCATTAGATGGGCATCATCCCTATTCGACTAGTTGAGGGTTTCGCTTTGGTCGCTTTCCGAGGGGCAGAGGAGCGGTTGTCAGCGCGATCACCGGATTTTCTGCGGGCCCCCGTCGATTTTGCCCTGGATCTAGGGGCGGCATTTTGACGGCGAGGGCGTTTGGTTGTTTGACGCTTCCGAGCCCGGGGTCTACTAGACTTTCCAGGGCCCTCATCCTCTTCGTCAGAGTCGAGGTCAGCAGTGTGCTGGGTAGAGAAATAGCGACTAGACAAAGTCTCGTCAACATTGAATGTAGAAGGATGATCAGTAAAGATTCCGCCATCGCTGAACTCGTCCTCAGTGCTGGTAAGGTTAATAACGTTGTGGTGGTTGGGATCTGGAACCACCCCATCAGCGTCATCTTGCTCTTTCTTCAGCTCTGCATAACGGCGCTGCGTGTCGCGCACGAGCTTCAGGATCTGGCCTCCGTATCGGTTCACCTTATCCGGATCGATACCAGGAATTGTGGCAAGTTCCGCCATATCTGAAGATGAGTTAGTTCTGCTCATACTTATCATGAAAGGATTTTCACCTTTGGGGAAGACGATGACCATCTCGCGCAGGACGCTGTCAGTAAACGGTTGGTTGCGGAGGCCTTTCTGCATGACCAGCTGTTTGGCTATTAGAGACTTATATGGAACCATCGATTCGAACGTTCACTTACATCCTGGCAATAGTTCTTGGCATACACCATGAAATCCTCCGCAA